GTGGGTGCGTGAGCGGTGGGTGAGGTAGTAGATGGAGTTATAATTGGTTACTAGGAAGGCAAGTGAAGAGAATTTGAGAGAGGAGGGAAGGACTTCGGTTCTGTTTCCAGTAATATTTCTCCTTTCAAAAAATGGAGGAAAAACAAGGGCAGTAGCTCCCCCACAAAATAATTCAATTTTTTGTCCAATTTTTTTTTTCTTTTCAAAAAGCCCAGTAATGAGAAAATGGGACATCAAACCTTTTCTTCTGGCTCAAATAAACAACAGGAAGGAAAGGGGATTTCTTTTTCCTTGGCTTCCTTCTGCATCTCGTCCACTTTTTATGAAAATTTTTATTACTCATGCCAAAGGAAACAGTTTGATTTGATTTTACATACAAAAGCCGTGATTAGTACATAGAGCAGCCTGTTATATCAACACTTTCACTCTAATGCTTCATTTTTAAGAGCAATTGTTTGTATATTAAAAAGTAATAGCACCAAAAAAGGTAATCACACCCAACTTGGTAGCTAATATGCTAGTTAACATCTTCTAGTACGTGATACTATTGAAAACGAGGAACTCTACATCATAATAATACTACTTAGTTGTTCTTAATGTGGCCGGGGCAGTGATATCTTCTGCTTATCAAGGAAAAGTATCTGATTATTCATCTGTACTGAATGTATCTTGTGTGGCTATTACCAAAAAATCAGAATGATATCATAACGAGATGCATGCCATTAAAATGTGTCTATAGACTTCTTTTTCAAGTACCAGATTCGGCGGACAATTATGCAGGGGAAAATGGGATAGAGGAAAGCAAATTAGGCAACTCATGGACCTTCAGCAAATGCATCAATTTAATTCGAAGTGATATGGTGGTTCCTGACTATTTCAGCCTGCTTGATTGGACCTTAGAAACCCAGATGATGTGGTTTAGATTAAAAATTTACCTCTTTTTTTTCGATTTTAGGTTGCCATTGTGTTTTTTAAGTGGTTTTGATTGGGAATTGAGGCAAGGGAAGTGATATCATTAAGGAAAACAGTGAGAGTGCCTCTCGGTTTCTGTTTGTGGTGCTCTGTTTGTAGAATTTTGGTTTACATCATACGCTTCTTTGTCTGTGGTATTCTGTTGCTTGAAGATGCTAATGTGGGTTCATAATTTGCTAATTTTTGTCTTATTGGAAATTACGCCAAAAATTGTAGATGTTCCTGGTGGACATGAGATGTCTGGATACTATGGTCGTGATGATGAAAGAGCAGGAGCACACCGTGTAGTTAAAGATACTGACTCCATTAATGCATCATATGATCGTTACCTGCGCAGTGCGGTACTAATTTATTCATGTTTTTGGATTGCATTGCAACTTTGTTGGTTAGTTGTACTTTTATGTTCTGTCTGACAAATGGGGGCAATGTATCAGCAACTTACATCTTATGCTGGGGCTGAATCGTCTAGACCGATGAGTGGTGGACTTGGTGGTCGTCCTGTTGACGATCCTCGCCTTATGAGTATTGGGGGTTTAGAACCAGCAGTGAGTGCAAAAACCCGGCCTATGGGATTGGGGGGTGGGAGACCAGAACTTCCTCTACCTCCTGATGCTTCTAGTACGCTCTTTGTGGAGGGCTTGCCTGCGAACTGTACACGCAGGGAAGTAGCTCGTATCCTTTTACTATATATGTGTCACTGTATTGCTTCCACTTCCTTCTGGTTTTGTTCCTTCACCTGGAATTGCAGATATATTTCGCCCTTTTGTAGGTTACAAGGAAGTGAGACTTGTGACCAAAGAATCAAGACATGTAAGTGTTAAATTATAATTATTGTTGATCTGCAGATTCACCATGAGGTAATTTATCAATAACTCAAGTTATCAAATTGTGCAGTCCGGGGGTGACCCACTGGTATTTTGTTTTGTCGATTTTGTGAGTCCAGCCCATGCGGCAACTGCAATGGATGCCTTGCAAGGTGAGCTCCTTGCCTGCATTCCTTTTGCTTCAAGTTGCAGGAAACTGAACTCTTGTCCTTATACTGTTTGTCTACTCTATTCTTTCTTATGTAGTCAGTGAAAAAGTATTTCACTCTGAACTATGTAGTATAAATTTTTTTTAATAATGTCTAGTCTCAATCAGGGTACAAAAATATAGATTTTTTTTCCCGCTCTAGGAGAATCGATAAAAGTGAGAAGGGGAGGGGGGACGCGGTGGAACCCATGTTATAGCTTTTTTACTTTGATATGGGTGAGAGCACCTTACTGCCATTTAAATCCTGCGGTTTTTTTTTTTTTTTTTGGGCGAGCTTAACTTTTGAATACCATCTGTAGCCGAAATGCGGTGGCTGATTTAGAGAACATGCTTATTTTATGTAGATAGACTTTTAAGCCAAAATGCGTTGGTGAATATGTGATGGTTATCAGAGCCTAAACTACACCATCGACTTTAAATCTTTTCACGCTTACAACGGAAGATGATAAACTCACTTCCCATAAGGCCCATATAAGACCTAATGCCTATGCTCTGATACCAAGCGTGTTATCGGGTTAAACGGTTTCACGGGTTATTCCGCGGGTTGATGGGTGTTCAACAGGTTAATCGGGATCCTTGGAAAATGGGGTGTTGCACATTGTTCTGTGGCGTGTAAAACTACTATTCCTTGTCCTAGCACTGGCAGAGCCAGATGCTATTTTCTGTGATGGTTTGTTTGTGTCCTACTAAATTCTTCTGATTTGAGGATGGGATGGAGATGTGAGCGCTTTGATAGCTGATAGAAAGGGAGTGATATTGGTCCCACCACGGAGTAGGCGTCTACTTAGAGATGTGGATTTCCTGCAGTGATGAGCAAGTTGTTCAGATATACGTGACATGAAAATGTCTACTGATAATGTGGAACTTTGTCTTGTTCAGAGAATGCCTGTTTTAATAGTTTTCCAAACGAAAAAATTTCAGGAAAGTATAATGGCTTCCTCATGGGGATTGAGTTTTGTTATCTGTGCAGTGCGTATGCCCCTTTTTTGTTGTCTGTTGGTTGGTTTCTTTTCCTTAACAGTTGGACTCTCCAAATCTGAATTCAAGTCAAAAGTGAAAACCTCAACTTGGAGAGATTGGAAGAAGAGTCTGAATATTAGTTCGTTTGTGGTCCAGACCCTTCTGTTGCAAATTGACACATAGGATACTTAGATTTAAGTGAAGAAGCTTCATTCATTTCCTGTCGAAATTGGCCATACTGGTTTGTTCTGGTAAAAATGCTGCCAATGTCTTCATTCTAGGGCCTTCTATACCATTTCCTTGATTTCCCAAGCCATGCTGAAATTTTAAAGTTAACCAGGAAACAGGTGGTAATATTGGTTTATCCAACTTTTTCGTCTCTGGGATTTTTGAAACATTGAGCTCTGACATGAACTTACTGATATAACTTACCTTGATGGGCAGCAGTTTCTTTCTTTCTTTCTTCCTTTTTTTTTCCTCTACCTGTGCCCTTGAGTCTTTCTAGAATTGAGAAGCGGACCCAGGATTGCACTTGAGTGTGTTATAAAGTGGTAATGAAATCCGAGCGACTTTATGTCTTTACGTTCAAGTGATAATTGCAAGGCTAACATCACGTGTTTGCTGATGTCCCGGATTCGCCATTCAAAGTGTGGTTAGTTGCGCAGCATAAAATAGTCAAACTCCATTTTGCAGGTTACAAATTTGATGAGCATGATCGTGACTCGGTTAGTTTAAGGCTGCAATTTGCTCGCTATCCTGGTGCGAGGTCAGGTGGCGGGCATCGTGGAAAACGTTGAATTATGCGGTTTTGCAGGTGACAAATGCTATCCCATGCACGCTCGATCCTTTACTTTGATGGTCATTAGGTTCTGTTGACTGTCCATTGTGGAGCTATGAATCGCGCTAAATAATGGAAAACCACTTCTGTGTAGGACCCACTCGTGTCAGGGAGAGTTATGATAATGAGGGAAGATGCAACCACCTTGCAAGAATGACAGGTCTCTCTGTACGGGCGCTTTCCTTAGGACCAGTTGAACCGGGTGGGTTTTGATAATCGAGGGGCAAACATCCGAGTTCTAAAGCGTGTTTACTTTTTTATTTACTTTCAGTTTTCTGTCTGAACCATTTACTAGACTCCGTTGTGTTAAATTTTAATTCCTGACGATCAGTAAAGATGCTTTTGTTTGTTTTGTGGTTATGAAGTCATGTTTCAAGATATTTATCTAGAGATAATGGCCTTTTAAGAAGAAAGATACTTATCTGGTAATGATTAGCAATTCTGGATTTGGGTACCTTGTAGTATTTTCCAGTTTAATTTTCCCTCGATCAATTTTCTGATATTTCTCTTTTACCTCTGGGTCCCTATGTGGTCTTACATTTCAATTTTAGGATTTTTACAAAAGGTTTAGGTGTCAATAATGTGACTATTTGTTTCTATTTCTTAATGTGTACAGGCCAACACTTAGATGTTGCTTTTCTAGGTTTGACTGTTTCTAATGTTCCTTTTTTTTATTTCTTAATTTTTTCTCAAACTTTTTTTTTGGGGGGAGGGGTTTTGAAAATTTGAATTTTAATATCAGAAACTATATTTGTGAGTTTTGTACATGTATATAATGTGCCTTATTTTTTATTCACGTGTTTGTGTTGAAAGCTTAAATGACATGTATGTTGTATCTGCTTGTTTGTTCTCTGGGCATGGCTTCTTCTTTGTAGTCTTTTTACAGTCAATTGGCATATTTTGCACAACCTTGTGTAAATTAAGCTTACCAGGTTGGCTAATGAATGGTAAAATTTTCCTCTTGTGCTTTATTGCTGGAGGCATTTTGGTTATAAATGTCTTAATATTCTTTATTACGGGAAGCTGGTCTGAGTCCATGTTCAGCAGTTATTCTTGCTAAAGGGTAGCCTTGCAGTTTACTCATCCTCACCCCCCCAACCCCCTCTTGCCCCCATAAAAAACTCCCTAATAGACGTTAATATTTGCTAAAGGGAGGAGGAAGTTGGCCTGCATTTTAAACTGAATCACCACACATTCTCCACTCTCCTCACTTCCTATAGCTTCCAGTACACCAGTTATTGTGGAAGTGTTTTGCTGATATGAATTGGCGTAAAATTTCGTTGTAGTTTTGTTAAGAAACTGTCTTTGGATTGATACGACACTAACACATGCAAATACATGTGCACACACAAATTTCATATCAGATATTGGATGATAAATGCCAAGAGACTAGTATTCTTTTGGTATATATAGCAATGTGTAAATTCCTGCCGGTGTTCATTTATCTTGCTGCGGTAAATGGAATAACGTCTATGTTATGGATCTGCGACCAATTCAAAAGGTTGCCTCTGTTGAAAACTGTTTTTATGGGTTGAACCGTAGGTTTAATTATCCATAGTTTGAGTTAGCTTTTAGAGGAGCTCATGATAAAGAGGAGGCAGGGGGCATGCCCAGTATGCTCGCTGGTTGCCCTCGGTGACTGATCATGGGAAAATGTACTCTTAGCTATTGCACTGACAACCGAAGTCGAGCATGTACATGACTGATTGTGGTCCGCGAATTACTCAACAGTTTGGTATTCCGGCAGGCTAGTTGTTTGGTGTTCAGGCAAGGTAGTGGGGAAAAGGATTGTCTTAAAGAACACAGAGCACATGACTGGAGATGTTATGCAGGAAATCGACGTCGTGCCCATTCCCACTTCACACCCTCTGGACTTGGTTAGTAGTTGGAACTTTTTTTTTTTTTTTATTTGGCGCAAGGAGAGCAGGCTTTCCACACGATGTTTGTTTAGCCTCATGGGCATCTATCTGTGATCTTCTTTGCTTTCAACTAAATTTCGTATTTTGTACATGTCGTCCTAAGGGTTTCAGCCGGACCAGATGCTGAACTAACATGAGAAAACAAGAAATTTTTGCGTTACTGCTTCATAGCGTAATTGTTCCACCATGTTTTGCCCAATTTTGTGTGTCAAATCAATCTCAATCGTTGAATCAATGAGTTTCATTGATTTCCACTAAACATCTGGTGATTGTGATTGTATACCTAGTTTGATGCAGAAAACTAAATGGACGGGGAAGATATACAATTTTTTGTAATTTTATTATTGAGTGATTTTTATTTTTTTTGCTCATGAAAAAAAGGGTTGGGACAAAGGAGAGTGCTCAGTGATCATCCGATAGACCCTCACTGATGGGATCATGAGGTCTTTAACTGTGTTCGTTACTCCTTTCGAGAACGAATTTAGTCAGGTTAGCATAACAGTCAATCACTGAATTTCAATATAGACGTTAAGATTCAAACTTTCAATATCTGGATGAAAAGTTCGATCGATAATCCCAATCGATAGTATTATTGTGTGATTTTCAACATGACCCAAACATCGTGAACTTTTAGTCAAGAATGCGAGAATAGAGATAGCACAGTGGTATCCGACTCATGCCTAATGTTTTGTTTGGTACGATAGAAAAGTGGATGGAAAGTCAGAGGGGTAAATAAAACATCATGTTTGGTAAGGAAGGAAAGTAGGAAGGATGAAAAAGTGGATGGATTAATTTTCCTTCTAACTCATCAAAATCAATTTCTCCAAAATCGGACGAAAAGTGGATGAAAAGTTAATTATTTGTGTTGAGATGTATCTTATTTGTCTATATATCTTATGTATACATTAATTTCATATAAAAATACAATAGTAAAATATGTATATATTTTTTTTAAAAAATAAAAAATAAAAAAAATTTTAAATAAAAAAAATATTTTTTTATCTTAACTGAGGGTGAAAATTTTTAACTCAACACGATGACACGACTCGAACTCAAAACGAAAATAAATAGGTCAATTTGTAACTCGACATGACACAGTTAGTTAAATGAGTTAAGTTATGTTTGACTAATATTCGAAATAAACTCGTAATAACTTAACACGAATTTGATACGACATGATTCGACCCTATTGTCACTCTTAATTTTAATCAGTACAAAAAAAAAAAAATAGTCATTTTTGTTTTTCATCCATTCAACCAAACACAAAGGAAGGAAAATGTATCATTCTTACTTTCCATCATTGAATGATAGAAAATTCATCATTCTTATTTTTTATTCTTCTAACTTTCTATCATCTTTACCAAACGGAGCATACGAAACATCCATTTTTCCTTTAATTTAATAGTTTTGAAATAACACACGAGTATGAAAACTGAGGTTATAAGTTTTTATTTTTACTTTTCTTTTGTTCTTATTCTGTTTCTGGATTATTACTGGCAAGGCCGGCCAGCTCTTTTGTTTATAAGCTTGGCCAATGGCTCTTACAGCTTGTACAAGAAGTTTTTAAAGCCGAGGGCAGTCTTCGTTTTGTCTGTTGTATATGATGTGTTTTAGTATAATTTAATTTTTTTTTCACATTAATAACAAATACCATGTGAGGATATTGTATGCAAAATAACTGAGAATGGGTCGGGTTTGGTTACGTTTGTGTCACGTTAAATTTTAATTAATTTATAATTATTACATTTATTGCCACATAGTTGAGCTTTTGTCATTTTAAATTTGAATTAGTTAAAATTTGATCAATTCTTATTTAACCTATTTCTAGTTGCGTGATCTCGCGCATATATGTGTTTTTTAATTGGGTTCATGTTATCTCATATCAAAACGGGTCTTTCATAGGGTCTCATAGTTATCACATGAATATTTTTCTCCATAAATAAATTTAAATATCTTTAGTCTGTATGAATGTCGGAACAGTGTAGTATTCAGAATTGTAAATTCACACCCAGTCTAAAAATTCAGATTTAAAATACTGATTTCATCAACCACAATTATTAAATAAATTAGTAGATCTTAATAAATATCAGAACTTATTGTTAAATTAACAACAATAATTAATCCAGTCAGCATTTAAGTTCACGTACCATTGTGNTAGTTAAAATTTGATCAATTCTTATTTAACCTATTTCTAGTTGCGTGACCTCGCGCATATATGTGTTTTTTAATTGGGTTCATGTTATCCCATATCAAAACGGGTCTTTCATAGGGTCTCATAGTTATCACAAGAATATTTTTCTCCATAAATAAATTCAAATATCTTTAGTCTGTATGAATGTCGGAACAGTGTAGTATTCAGAATTGTAAATTCACACCCTGTCTAAAAATTCAGATTTAAAATACTGATTTTATCAACCACAATTATTAAATAAATTAGTAGATCTTAATAAATATCAGAACTTATCGTTAAATTAACAACAATAATTAATCCAGTCAGCATTTAAGTTCACGTACCATTGTGCCGAATATGATTGTAAGACTTAGAATCCTAGTTGACGGCTTAGCTGTCTTTTGACAGATGGCGATTTTCCTTAAATTCTGTCAGGTGACCGTTTCGGATTTAAGATACCATAGAATCTCCACCGTGTCCAAATCAAACACCATCAGTAATAAGTAGAACAGTAATGTTAGAGTGACGGAATTTTGACATATAATAGTCCCATTCAGTATCTACGCACATTCATGTTGGCATTTAATAGTCGCAGATTTTTAGCTTTTCAATTTCATGGTTATATTAGCTTCTGAAGAATATCAAACACCTTGAAATCATTTCCATGGCGGAGAATCATGAAGATTCAGTCATGGAGTCGCCGGCTTCCGTTGACTGCGCTATCAAACAAGTCGACTTGACAGTGCCCAAAGCGATGATCCCAACATGCCGGTGCTCACATTCAGAATGTGGTTCTTGGGGATCACTGCGTGTGTTTTGTTATATTTTGTGAACCAGTTTTTCTGGTACAGGACTGAACCATTAACGATTAGCTCAATATCAGCTCAGATTGCTGTCGTGCCACTGGGGCACTTAATGGCGAGAACCCTTATGAATCGCGTTTTCTTGAAGGGTTCTTGGAGGGAATTTTCCATGAATCCGGGGCCGTTTAATATCAAAGAGCATGTTTTGATTACCATCTTTGCAAATGCCGGTGCCGGAACTGTTTATGCCACTCATATATTAAGTGCTGTCAAGCTTTACTACAAGAGGAGACTCACGTTTATCCCTGCCTTTCTTGTTATGCTTACCACACAGGTGCCCTTCTCTTTCAATCTCTCTCCAAGTTCAACATATTTATATGTTCCTAGATAGAATGTTATTGAACATCTCAATGATTTTGTCTAAAAAAGTATTAGATAATTGTTCATGGGGAGGGATTAAAAGAGTACTTTCCTTGATTTCTGGGAGAATATCCTAGGATGAATCTATCCCCTCAAAGGAAATGGGATTGTATCGGTCATTGATGACAAAGAAGAAGAGTACACCTGTGTTTATGAAGAACAACCATCGTATTGTGCACACCTTTTATCTTGTGATTGTGGGATCTCACCATTATTGTCTTATTTTTATTGTATTCAAATTGGAAAGCATCGGGATGCGAGAGAAAGTTACCTAATTTGTTGGGTTGTTAAAATACTTGATTTAGACTTGCTGGTGTGGTGTGTAGTCCCAGCATTGTTAACTAGAGCATGATCTGTATATCGTATATCAATTTTTTCCAGTAAATAAGAATCTTATTTTCAGAAGAAAAATTTTGCAATATGTAGTCGAGTTAGAGATGCAGAGATTTACTTTTTACATGATTATAACAGTCGTTCAAATTCTTCGTTACACGAAGATTGAAAAAACCTCTGATTCTAAGAGCATGTTGTGCAAGCAGTAACAACTCAGAATTTTTAGTGTCCAACCTTTTCTTGTATGACTTGTAGGTGTTAGGCTTCGGTTGGGAAGGGCTCTTCCGGAAATATCTGGTTGAGCCAGGAGAGATGTGGTGGCCGAGTAATCTGGTTCAAGTCTCATAATTCAGGTCTCCTTACCTTCTTTTTTACTTTTCTAAAATTGCAAATCAATGCTTCTTCTATGCTCAAAGTATAACTATACATATCACAGGGCACTACATGAGAAGGAGAAGAGAACCAAAGGTGGCACAACTCGTACCCAGTTCTTCCTTATAGCTTTAATTGCAGTTTTGCTTACTATGTCTTCCCTGGCTTCCTTTTCCAAATATTAACATCGGTCTAGTGGATATGTTGGCTTGCTCCCAAGTCTGTCTTAGTGCAACAACTGGGCTCAGGATTACAAGGACTTGGAATTGGCTCCTTAGGATTTGACTGGTCTACAATTTCATCATACCTTGGGAGTCCTCTAGCCAGCCCATGGTTTGCCACTGCAAATGTTGCCATTGGATTCTTCCTTGTATTGTATGTGATGACACCACTCAGTTACTGGTTTAACGTCTACAATAGCAAGAACTTCCCAATATTTTCCGAAGATCTTTTCATGGTAGATGGTTCAAAGTACAACACTTCAAGCATCATCAATTCCAATTTCCATCTTGATAAGGCTGCTTATGCAAAATCTGGGCATCTATATTTGTGCACCTTCTTTGCTATGACATATGGCATTGGATTTGCTACACTTTCTGCAACTCTAGTCCATGTCCTACTCTTTAATGGAAGGTACATGCCACCACTTTTATGTGCTTTGATTCTGTGTCCTGCATTCGTATCTGACTTGTGTAAATAAAAAGTAAAGACCTATGGTTTGTGGAAATAGCAAACCTGATAGAAGTAGAATGCAGATTAAAGGCTAAATATTTGACAAATTTTGAGGATCTAAAGTATATCCTTATAGTGATTAGTGTACTTTTTTCGGTTCTTTCTGTCAAGGTGATATGCATAAGCCATTATGAGTGCTTGGTGAACCAAGCTAAAAACTGATTTGAACCTCTACTCTTGCAGTGATTTGTGGAAGCAAACCAGAAGGGTCTTTGGAGCGAGTTAAAAAACGGATATACACACAAGGCTTATGAAGGCGTACAAAGAAGTTCCCATGTGGTGGTTTATCATCATCCTCCTGCTTAACATTGCAGCCATTATGTTTGCTTGTGAGTATTACAATGACATACTTCAATTGCCTTGGTGGGGTGTCTTGCTAGCTTGTGGCATTGCCCTGTTTTTCACCCTTCCAGTCGGTATCATCGCTGCCACAACAAACCAGGTAAACATCAAAGTTATTGGAATTGATTTATCTAAGATTATAATCTGTGATGTTTACATTTTGATGTATTTTGTTCATTTTTTTCTGGTGAACAGTCACCAGGTCTAAATATCATCACAGAGTATATAATTGGGTACATGTACCCCGGGCGCCCGGTTGCTAACATGTGCTTTAAGGTGTATGGATACATCAGCATGATTCAAGCTCTAACATTTTTGTCAGACTTCAAGCTTGGTCACTACATGAAGATTCCGCCCAGAGCAATGTTCATGGCTCAGGTTGGTGTCTCGACTGCTCTAGTTTACTTGTGGAAATCAATGAACAAAACTAAATTCTGTTCCGTTTTCAGGTGGTGGGGACAGTTATATCAGTAATAGTCTACAAGATAACTGCTTGGTGGATGATGGGTGCCACCCCCAACCTTTGTGATACCTCCGTGCTTCCATCTGACAGCCAATGGAATTTTTTTTTTTTTTTTTTTTTTTTGATCAAAATGGAAGTGTCCGATGGACCATGTGTTTTATGACGCCTCTGTTATTTGGGGGCTGGTTGGGCCTCGCAGAATCTTTGGAGCCCTCGATGTCTACTCCAATGTGAACTGGTTCTTTCTCGGTGGAGCCATTGCCCCTCTCCTAGTCTGGTTGGCACACAAAACATTTCCACAGAAGCAATGGATACGCCTCATCCATATGCCAGTCTTGTTAGGTGCTACAGCAATGATGCCTCCCGCTTCTGCTGTGAACTACACCAGTTGGATTATTGTGGCGTTCCTGTCAGGCTATGTTGTTTTCAGGCACCGACCAACATGGTTGGAGCGCTACAACTATGTCCTTTCGGGTGGTCTTGATGCTGGAACTGCCTTCATGACTGTGCTAATGTTCATTGCCCTGCAATCAAGGAACATCCAGCTTAATTGGCGGGGAAACGATGTAGAAGGGTGTCCCCTGGCTTCTTGTCCAACTGCCAAAGGGATTTCAGCTGATGGCGGTCCAGCTTTTAGCTAGAATCTTTAGCTCAGCTATAATTTTTCGTTTTAAACTTTGATTGTTAATAGATTTTCCATGGATTCTACTCTTATAGATCATAAATTGAATCACTTACCCATTTTTTTTACTTACTGGGAAAAAAAATCATGAATTGAATGAGTGTCTATCACATTCCTAATGTTTGATCTATGTAGCTAATAGTTTAGCTTGCTGAAAATTGTCTTGGAGCTATTCGACGCCATTGTAACTTGTTTTTTGACTCTCTAAAGTGCATGTAATAGAGGAGATTATGTGTCTGTTTTTTAGGGTTGTCATGGAGGGTCTATCAGACTTCTGCTTGTTGAGTATTTGCAGCAAGGCATGCTTATTTTCTTCAAAATTAAGGCAATAAAACTTACTTACAACTAAAATAGCAGTGACTGTATTATAAGCATCTACAAAGCTACTTGCTTAATTCTTGAACATCTCCTCGATTTATCATCTGCAGTTAATATTACAAAAAACTTGTTTCAGCAACGACAGAAAGACATGTAACTCGGGCGGGTTGGGAGATCAATCTTAACTCAACCCTAGGTATATAATCTTCAACAATAATTTTAACTCAAATTCGATTTCAACCTGTAGTATGCAATCTGAGTACTGCTAAAGTTAAATTTTAGTGGACTCGAATTGAATTTAGATTACTAAATTTGCGTTAATTTCGTTCAAACCCAAAATTAGCTTTTTTTTAAACCGTTACATCCAACACACCACAAGAAAACAACAAACCATAGGAAAACACAACAATCACACGGCTACTACCACAATCACCACACAACTACTACAATAACAAGTACACCATACAAAATTTGGGAGGCGTAGATCTGAGAGAAAGATCATAGATCTCAAATCTGAGAGATCTTCATCTTCGATTTTCGATCTTTGATCTATCTGAGAAAAGGCGTCTGAGAGGTCATCTGGGTACTAATGAACTTTTGGTTCAATGATACTCCTTATCTTGCGAAAGTTTTGCCTTTTTGAGGTAAATAGTTCAAGCCCTTTTCTCTCTCCCCCTCTCCCCCAAAAAAAAAAGAGAGAGAGGTCATTTGAGGGAGTCAGATTGGATTCGGGTTAAATTCGGATTGACTGGCCTAAGTTNCTTTATCTTGCGAAAGTTTTGCCTTTTTGAGGTAAATAGTTCAAGCCTTTTTCTCTCTCCCCCTCTCCCCCAAAAAAAAAAGAGAGAGAGCTCATTTGAGGGAGTCAGATTGGATTCGGGTTAAATTCGGATTGACTGGCCTAAGTTATACCCCTAATGACAAAACTTGTTGCCAAAGGAATATTTCGTTGCAAAAAACATAACCAATTGGTCGCATTAGGATGGCCTAGGAAAGTTTTTTGTAACCACATAAACACTCGTCGCAAGANTTATACCCCTAATGACAAAACTTGTTGCCAAAGGAATATTTCGTTGCAAAAAACATAACCAATTGGTCGCATTAGGATGGCCTAGGAAAGTTTTTTGTAACCACATAAACACTCGTCGCAAGAAATTCACTTTCAAATAAATCATCAGTACCCTTGTTTCCAATTCAAACGAAAGAGAGAATCAAAGGAAGAACTTGATAGAAGGGCACAAACCAAACCACCCCACCCGATCAAGTACCAATTGCTTCACTGGTAGGCCCAATTAAGTTTGGGGGCATTGTCCATCGACATGTTGCTAGTTTCGCTTCAGTCAAATAAGATATCAGGATAGAAGGAACCAAATGTGTACTTGCAACATCACTTTCCTCTTTATATAGACTGCTACAACGTTGATAGCTTATATACTTGTAGACTACATGCTTCAGCTTCCATGGAAGAAATATACAGCTGATGAGGAATCAAGAAACCGTCGCCTGAAATGCGTATTAGAGACAAAGGAAATATTGCACTTCACACCTTGAATATGAAAAATTGATTTTCAAAGTATACTTTCAACATGATCAAACTGAAAAATGTCCCGAAAATCAATATTATAGTCATCGTCCTCGTAACCTGGCTATGTGTTTGGTTTTACCATTGCAGCATGTTCTGAAGAACCATTGTTAAGCACAAGGCACAACACTTTAACATTGTGAACATCAGGTGAGAAGGGCGCAGCCGGTGTAGCAGCAAAACTGTCTCCCAGAGCTCATACATGGTAGAAAACTAGATTTGAATATTCGAATTGAGGGTAAACCAGATTCCTCGCTGTCATGTATGTTTGTAATTTAGTCTATGATCCAAATAGAAGAGAATTGACTGCCTCCAAGAGCATAAACACTTCTTATAAAGATATTACTCGAAAATTCAGTGGTTTGTTCAGTGAAGGTCCCTTTCACCACAGCCAAGACAAGTACTGAGAGGTAGATGAATTAGATACAAGAAAGTTCGACCATTTCAACTGAAAAAAACAAGTAGATCCATCATGGGTTAATCAGTACCTCAGTGAGATCTAAATATGCTTTCGGCTGCTTGAATAAACGAAAATAATTTAAAGAATGAAGGAGGATTCCATATATACACAAGTGGAAGAATATCAATGACCTCAAAGGTGGATCTTCAGTTATATATATTGGATACTATCATTTCATGTCTTTTATCCTTTATAATTTGTCCAATTTCTATTACAAATTGTACTACACCCGATATGTTTCCACTGCATGATTGAAATTCTACTGACCTAAATAATCGTCGAACATATGTTCAACACACTATTTAAGTGCATTCTATGTTGTTTACACTGTAATATATTCATATGTACATAGAAGTCTATTGCAAGAATTTACTAGAGATTATGCAGATTAATCCATACAGAAGGGAAACTAATTTAGATTGTGAAGAACCCCAAGCATGTGCATGATCAAAGAGAATGGCCTAATTTAAAGCATCTGTAAAACAATGGAATGTTTTGAACTGCAAATAGCATAGGGCAGATAGATTCTTTTATTTTAATTTCCTTTTATTTCTTTTTTTACGGATTCAACCCAAAGGTATTGCTAGTTACATATGGGTATGTTGCGAAGTAATCTCTATTTTTTGCAGGAAACGAGATCCTGAAAGACTTGAAAACAAACATGGATGAAAATAGTTTATTTTGATACTGATGGCAAAGTATAAAACAGGCAAGAGTAGCTAGTTTGAATTTGCAGGGGGGCTACTTGGAACGATTAATGGCTTGTTGATCGTATGGGAAGTCATTCAATGGGAAGAAGACAATGTGAATGTTCTTTGAAAAAATAGCCATGATCACCAATACCACTAATCTTCTCAGAAGAGATGACTGACATCACGATACCATACCATTCCTAGAGACAACAGAGGAAATTCTCTTCTTTCATTAGTCATGGAAAGCTGTAGTATTTGCATTCAACACTTTATCGTTTCTATTACCTACCAGGTGTTCTCTGAAACCATTCTCTTGGATCTACTATTTTGGCACCACCTAAAAGCTGTACAATGAAGATATACAGAAATGGAACAGAAGAAGGTATATGGAATATCCTGAAGACAATGGCTTGCTTTCACGCAAATGAAAAGCTGTTGCAAAGAAGCATACAAGAGTGATATTGATTCGGCTCATCTACAAGCTGTTTATACAACAGAAGAAGCTGAGCCGGACCAACATCACGCCATGTCTACTTCTCCAGAAATGGTTTCTTTTGAGCATTCTTCAGTGTGCTTAGAAGAGTGTTAACTCCTTTCTTTATAAAGGAATAAGAAAGAAGTTGGTCTTTGTGGACACCTTGAACAGTTGATGGTTTCTAACGCCAAGGACTAAAGATAAGGTAGGATATTATAATATAACCAGCACAGGGAACAACTATTATGATCAAGATCTAAGACTCATCCTATCCCCATTTTTTTTACAACCCACATAGTGACTGATCCTATAGCAATGGCATGTGCATTTGTACGGCCTATCGCGCCATTTCATGAACTGCAAATGCCATGGTCAACATAGTGTTGATCGAGCCCACCAGCTCTTGAACAAAATATGATTGTTATTACCAAAATTTTTTTCAGCATATGATCAAAAGAAGCAAACAATGTGGTATAGGCCGCAGAAAAGAAGGAGAGGACTTTGGAATCTTTAGGTTAGACTTGATTTGTGATCACATGGATACTTTGCTTATGATAAAGATATAAAAAGCAATGGAAACAAAAATTGGTGGCCCTCTCATCTGCATATAAATATAGCTAAAAGGCTGGACAGCATTAAGATAAAAGACAGAAAGCAGTGGACATGATTAATTGTAAGTTTGTGAACAGTTTCTGTTTATATAATTCCATGGCCATCATGTGCTTAAATGTGAAAACCTCTCTCTTTGTGGCATTATCCATGGGATTATTTTAATCTACTCTACAACTCTAATCTCGGTATTCGAAATATAGGGAAAATATAAGGCAGCCCAATCTAAAAGATAACAGAATCTCCTTTCTGGCAATGGGAAAATTTCAAAGGTTCCTCTCCCTCCTATTATTTTTTTGGGTAAATCGATTAATTGACTCAATATTTAATGTCAAGCCAGGATGTTTTGAAGTCTCTAGTCAATATCTGTTGAAGCAGAAACTGGAATCTGCCAAACTGAAAGGTTCATTTACATGATCATTGGCAGGGTTTACGCACATTGTCGATTTTTTTTTTGGCTTCCATGATCATTACTGTATACTTTGAATATTCTCAGATATAGCAATACATACCTTCCTCAGAATATTGCCATGAAGTTGACAAAAAGAGAAACAAGGGTATAATGATATAATCACAATCAGGCTGCCTACCCTGATCACTATTTCCACACAAATGAATGAATCTAAGTGCGACACGACAAGAAAGAAGAAATAAAAGCCGCCTGGTCACTGTCATTGCCGTTATTTTATTTCTAGCTACCACATACATGAAATTTTGATTTTGTCGGGAAACGGTGGCAATAGATTTCAGCATGAACTAGAATAGATTCTCAGGTTGGACATACATACACACCAACTTTATTAGCAATTTTTTGGTGTCCAAA